AAGTCAGTAGCAAGAAACCCTGAGAAATATTTCCTATGAAAGTCATCGCTCAGCTGAGACTTGTGGAGTTTGTAAATTATCAACAATGTGAGTGACAGGCAAACCTTGCTCACAGCCAAGTGTCAGTACCCCAGAACAGTTCTGAAACCAGACCTTGCCGTTTCATTTCCACCAAACAGAAACCAAAAGGTGCTTTTACCCGCATGAAAACTGAGGAAGAGCAAGGGTTCACTGCACACAACTTTTTTTTTTGTAAAAATCAAGATGCACATCTCTGAGAATTTTTTCTATTATTTAACAATGGAAGTTCTGCTGAAAAAGTGGCAGCGTAGAATTTTTTAAAATAAAACTTTGTTGCAAGAGATGTGCTAAATTAGTTCATCCAGGAGTGCCATAGGGAGGTCGTTTGAGGGGATCTCATTTATGAATGAAAGTGAGTTTCCTGGCAGACTACCAGTCTCTTCCAAATGCACACGCTCTGAGAACAGGACTCCACAGATGTCACACCTATTTCCGACAGAAGACACAGGAACTAACCACTATGCGCTGGATCCTAACTAAGGTCCTACTCGAGCTAGCAGATGGGAATCTGTGCGCCCTGCTGGGCTTCCTGAACATCCTACTACTAGGTTCTAAGAATTAGCTACACTCTATTACATGGTGATGATTTTTTTTTTTTTTTTCGCGCTCAGAAAACCGCAAAGGGATTTAACCAAAAGGAAAGGTTTTCTTTTTCTAAATTCGATTAGCCTTTTCCACTTTCTCTACATCGGGACATTTCCTCTCGGAGGAATTTCATACCCAGAGGCCCCTTGGCGAGGCACTGTTGCATGCGGGGCGCAGTGAATTTAAGTGCAAGACGCTCAAATATGGACGGAAAGTCAAAATCTCAAGCACTTGCAGTAGTTAGCGAAGTCGGTTTCTAAATACTGGTGTAGGAACTGCCCTCCAAGCGGAGAAAGCGAACTTTGCCGCCGGCAGACAGTACGGGACTCTTGGCTGGGGCGCGCGCGGGTGGTTACCAAGCCCACTCTCCGCTTGCCACCGCTGAATTTCCCGCCTGAGCCGGCGCCAGGGCTCCCGGTCACTAGTGCTGCACCCGGCGCCCGTCTGGAGATAGCCCTTGGTGGTGGATGGCGGGAGTCCCCCAAAAAACGTGTGTTTTGCTGCTGGGATTGAACTGCTGGAGAGCGAGTGCGCCGAGGGCGCACAGCGTAGACTTGGCCAGGGGCGGGGTACCCACCCGAGCCTGCTCCAGACCTCGGGTTCGAAGCCGCTCCAGTGTTCTAAGAGAGGTTAGGATTGAGTGACAGCAGTTCAGTAGGAAAGGAGTTTCTGAAACTCCCGGGGAAGCGAAGTCCCGGGGTTTGGAAAAATAACCGAATCTATGGAGGGCTTTCCAAACTTGATCTATTTTTTTTTTCTGTCATTTTTTCCTGCTCTCCCCGCACCCTCCCCCCAACTCCAGCCCTAACTCCAACCCTAAACCCAACCCCAACCCTAGTAAAGAGCCCTAAGGGCTAGAGGGTACAAGCCACCTCAACCCTTCCTCCTTTTCCCTCTGCCCCCGCAAACTTTCAGACAAGGAAAATACAAATAAACCCCAGGTGGTTAATGCGGGTGCATTCAGGAACACCCCCCCCCCACACACACACACACACACAGCTGGCCACCCGCTCTGTCCCACCCACCTCCGGGCAGGGGAGGGACTGGGAACCTGATCTCCGGGCTCCTGCCCCGAACGTTTCCCCATCAATAATGTTGATACCATCGTTGTGCCTCCTCCCCCGCCCCCGGGGCGCCGCTGCCGCCTTTTCGCCGCTTTTTGCCTGGCTTAAGAAAACGAAACTTCCACTACTGCCCTCCTAGCCTCGGCCGGGGGCCAGCGGGGCCTTGAGCTGGGGACTGAGGAAGCAGGGATGAAGGCACAGCGCTTGGAGGCGTCCTCCATTTCTGTGGTAGGGTGGCCAAGCAGCGTCAGCGAAACGGAAAAGAGGGTCTGGGGCCCAGTCAAGGCCTCATCCCAGGCCCCATCCCAGACCCGAGGTCAGATCGGGCCAAAATAAGATACTTTTGAGGGTAGAAGAACCAGGCCTTAGAATGCGCGAACCTTGACTCCCTCCTCTTTACCCTTCCTAGGACCAGAGGTTGAGCGAAGAAGCCTGGAAACCCCAGGACTGGGACCCCAGTTTTGTGGCCTGCGGCCTTGGGGCACAAACCTTCGGCCACGCCAACCCACCAAGGACACTCTAGGACTTGGGAAAACTGAGGGGACGTATTAGTAGGAAAGAGCATCAGTCCCCCAAGATGGGAGTTTGCAAAACTCGCCAAGCGCCTCCCCGAGGTGCGGTTCCTCTCCGCCCGCGAGGTCGCGACCCCAGCGCAGCTGCCGCCTCACTTCGGGCTATCCCCATTCGCTACTGCGGATCAGCCCCTAAGTACCAGGCCCTCTCGAGGAACCTGCAAGTACAAACTTCGCTACCCGGATTCCCCAGTAGTCCCCCCGCACCCCACCTCCACCCAGGGCTAGGAAGATGCGACCGCACATAGAGCGCGCAGGGCTCTAGGGTGAGCAGGGCGTGTAGAGGGACTCCAGCAGTGGCACCTCACTCCCACTCGCCGCCTACTTTCGACACGCACAAAAATAAAGATTAGCCCCCACTCTGCCTCCGTTTTTATTGATGTAAGTATTTCTTTGCATCGCGGCACGCGGAGCCTCGCCAGCGCCCTGACACTGCGGCGCCCGCACCAGCGAACCACGGAACTTGGGACCGAGACAATGGCCCGTAATTGATGTATTGCCATCAACAATAAAGACCAATTCTCCTCTCCCCGCCATTCCGACCATCCCCCTCCTCCCATCCCCCCCTTCTCCACCTCCCATCTCCTCTCCCGGGGCCACCGAGGGAAAGAAAACAAACAAGAAATTAGCAGGGGACGCCGAGCGCAGAGCGAAACGCCCGCCTCTACGCCGTCGAGGACGCAAAAAAACGAAAAAAGTTATTAAAGTTTGGATCCCCCAATTTATTCGTCTCTACTCGCCCATTTTTAATTAAACATCGCGAAGCTGCTTTTTGCATGTTCATTTCGTTTGGTTGTTTGTTGTAGTGTTTTTTGCGGGGGAGGGAAGGTTCTTTTTTCCTCCACTTAATCTTAAATCACACGTAGACCAAGTAACAAACACATGTGAAGCCATTCCCGGGAGCTTCCTGCTGCGCACGCGGCGCGCACCAGGAGAAAAGCTTTCCGGGACCGCCAGCTCCGCTAGGTTCCTGACTGCATGCGGTGCCCGGGAGGCCCGGACTTTCAAGAAGCCAAGATTGTTACGAGAAGGATGCGGGCGGCTCCAAACACGGGCACATTCCGGGAAAGGAGTGTGCAAGTGCACACAAACGCGTTCGTGTACCTGGGAGAGTGTGGGCTGGTGGGTGTGCAAGGACCCCTGTTTGTGGGATAGGGGGCGGGTGCGGGATTTACACGTGCTCCGGTACACGTTCCCCGGGGTCTGGGAGAAGCTAGCCGCTCACACCCCAGGAGCGCGCAGATCCATCTTTGCCGAGGGATCTCTTTAAATATTCAGTGAGAAATAATGGCATTTGAAGCACCACCTATGGAAACATTATTATCTTCATTCTTCAACATCAGCCCCACTGATAGCTTCGTTTGTCTTTTTATCAAAATCTACTGTACCCATCAGGACCTGGGGAGAAAGGGAGAGCGAGGCGGAGAGGGTGTGAATGTGTGTGTTAGGGAGTGAGCGAGGGCAGAAGAGAAGAAAGTAAGAGAAAAGGTGGAAAACGGACGATCAGGGAGAAAGAAGGGAGAAGTTATACCAATAAAAAAATAATAAAGTCAGCAGATGAAAAATAAACATTCACCAGCACACAAACACATTTACACCTTAAAAATAAAAGATTTAAGAAGCTAAGAGAAAGGTCCTTTACGGGAGCGCAGTACGGGTCCAGAGTACCCGAAGTCGGCTCGTGAGACTGGTGCCCACTTCGCGCGAACCGACCGTGTCACCAGCTAGACTGAAGGGCGCTCGCAAATTGGGGCGTCCTTATGAGCTCTCCCCTTTCCTGATCGCGAGATAGGGCAGGGATTGTGTATCTGCACCCCCCTCCTCCCCCATTACTCAGCCGAAGTTTAGTTTAGTTCTTCGGGCGCAGGACTTCGAGAACCTTGGAGCGAGGAGACCCAGAGGCGCGAGGGGAAAGAGCTAGGCTGAGCCGCGTACCGAGTCTCAGGTTCGCGGGCGCCTGAGCCCGGCAGAGGGATCGGGCTCCCGGCTCTGGGCCCTGGGGTGCGGGTAGGGAGGTTGCATCTCAGCTTCGGGGAGATGGTGATAGAGCGAAAAGTTTGGGCGAAGCGCTCGGCAAGTGCCCGAAAAGTGGAGGCGAGCTTCCGCGCCGCCAGGCAGCCTCGGACAGAACACCTTCCCACCGCCACCCCCCAACCCAGTTTCCCGGCTCTGGGCCGCCACCTCGTCCCCGAAGGCTGGGGCGCAGCCCCCTCCCCAGGGCGGGGTGCCCAGGGGTCCCGGGGACTGGCCCAGTCCAGTGCCCGGTCCGGCCGGGCCGTGTCTCTCCAGGCCGGGGCGGGCTGCTGCGCTCAGGGTGAGCGGCAGCCCCTCCCCTCCCCCCGGCCGGAGCTGAACTCGCAGCCCAGGCCGGTCCCCGCTCTCCGCCCGCCCGGGGCTCTGCGGCGCCACCGCTGCCGCCGCCTCCCCGCGGAGTGACGCGCCCTGCAGCCAACCGGGGCAGCCGGGGGGGAGGTCCGGGAGGGGTCCTGGGCGGAGCCGGGCCGCCCCCTTATCCCACGGGCTCAGGGCTGCTTCTCCCGAAAACTTCAGCCCTAATTGTCCTGGGAATGTCCGAGGTAGAGAAAGGGAGCGAGGGAGCAAGCAAGAGGCTGGAGAATCAGGGCCCCTGGCGGGGAGGGGATGGGGTGGCGGGAGAACTGCCCCTCCCCCCGGCCACAAACCCATCAGGTTCCCAAACCTTTCCTGGATCCTCTTCTCCGCGCCCCCGCGAGCCCGGGATCCAGGGGATGGAGAACTCGGGGCTGAGGAGCGCCGAGCCAGGCGGGAGGGAGGCCGAGCCGTGGGCGGGAGGCGGACCGGCGTGGGGCTGGCTCTTCCCCACTCGCTTATTTTTTTTTTAATGGGGGTGGGGGTGGGCTGCTTTCTGGTAGCTCTTAAAGAAACGAAGAAACACTCACGAAACGGGACGCCCTCCCCCCAAATCCCGCCGCGGGACTCCCTCCCCCCGCGGGCCGGCGCGCCTCGCGCCCGGGTTGGGAAGTTCGCAGCGCGCCGCCAGCCTGAGTCCCCAGCCCCCGCCGCCCAGCCCCACCCCCCACCCGGGGCGGCTCAATTCCGGGGAGGGCATGCTAATTTGGGTCGGCCCAGCCCGGGATAGGGGGGCGAAGGAGGGAGGGGAGAGGGAGAGGAGAGAGAGAGCGGGGGGCGCCGGCCGGGGCGCCGGGCCCGCAGTGGAGAGGAGGCCGGCCCCCGGCGGCCTGGCCGCGGAGTCCCGGGCGGTCGCAAAGAGGGTTAACCCAGTGTCGGGCGGCGCGGCGTGCAGAGCCAGCCCCGCGGCCGGCTTATTGGGCCAGCGCGCGGAGAGACAGGGGTCTGCAGCAAATCACGAACTAATTGATTAAGGCGAGCGGGTTTGAATAGCGCTGGCCCGGTGCCAATCGCCTTTCAAAGAGCCCCTCTATGATTAATCGCAATGCATTATTGATAATCATAATTATAGCAGGACACATGCGCGCTGCGCCCGGGGCCGGGGAGCCGGGGAGGGGGCGGGCGGGCCGGCGGGCGGGGGGAGCCGCCGCCGCCGCCGCCGCTCGATTTCCGTAATTTTGAGAAGATTTTTTTTTAGTAATTTTTTATTCTGCCCCAGCTGATGTTTGAGCCAGCATGTCGCGGAGGAAGCAAGCGAAGCCTCAACATTTCCAATCCGACCCCGAAGTGGCCTCGCTCCCCCGGCGAGATGGTGAGTGCTCCGGCCCGCGCCGTGGACACACACACACACACTCACATTCACGCACACTCGGACCCACGCACACGCGGCTGGCCCCCGCGCCCCCTACCTCGCCGCCGCCGCGGCCCCGATTGCTTCTTCCACTCGGCGTAATTTTTTTTTTTCTTTTTAATTTTCAATTTGCCTTTGCTGGGCTTTCCCCCGCTGCCCCGGCGAAAGCGAGCACATCTCCCGGCAGGATCTTTCCGGAGTTGCTGGGTCCTCCCGGGGGAAGGAGGGCGGGCATGCCGGCCTGGCTTCTCCGTCCCGGCTTTTCCGGGGATCTCAGCCACCGCCGGGACCCGGGAGCCCCATGAGGCGTGGGTGCGGGCGGAGGTCGTCCCCGCCGGACCGCAAGGGGCCCCTGGCGCTCCCCGCGCCGCGGCCCGGGGCCCCCGGCCCGGCCTCCGCCTCCCGGCCCTGCTGCCAGCGGGAAGGAAGTTTACTTCGGGCGCTGGGCTGAACTCCGAGCGTGGGGGAGCTCGCTGCACCCCCCCTCCCCGCCCCACGCGCACACTCCACCTCGGCCCGTGCTAGAACGGGGTGCCTTTGGAGGTTCAGAGCTGCAAGAAGATGGGGACTGGTGTCGGGGCGCCCGCGCCTGACCTGCTGGGGTCGCGGCCGGGGTGGAGAGTGCCGCTGGCCGCCAGTTGTTCCGGAGACGGTGCAAACGGACGGGGGAAGTGTCGGGGTCTGGCTCGCAAAGTTTATCTCCGCATCTCTTCCCCCAACAATTGCACCCTCTGCCCCCCAAAATCTTTACGGTCGGTATGCGCCCTCTGCGGATCGTGGTGCTCCCTACTTCCAGGGGGGTCGGGGAAGAAGTCGTAGGATAGTTTTTCAGGTTTGCGGGTGACCAGCCAGAGTGGAATCCCCCCTGAAACAGGGGCACTCGCTTTCTCCGATGGAGGCGACAACTGTGGGTCCCGAAGGGGCTGAACAAGTCCAGAACAAAGTTTGTGTGTGGGAGCTTTGGCAAAGAGTGGAAGATATCCGGGCAGGGAGTTGGGGTACAGAGGGAGGACACCTGGAATCCCTCCTTGCTCCTAAAGGTGTTTCACTGTACCGGCCTCAAAGCTCCCAGGCCTAGCACCCGAGGCGATGCAGCGGCGCCCGGGCTCGGGTCCCCGGGTCGTCCCGGCGCGATGCTGGCCTCTCGGCTGCGGGAGAACGGACAAGGAGCAACCTCGGCGGGTTCTCAGCGGCTCTGGATGCCGCTCGGGATGCCCACGTCCTAGGCGGCATTTTGGGGTGTGGAGGAGGGAGCTGGGCCCTGACAGAGCTCCGAAGCGTGCCCCTGATCGGCACCTCAGCCCACTAAGCTGCGGCCGCCCGGGCCCCCAGGTCCCCGGCTCGTTTCCCAGAGGCCTGCCTCTCGGTAGAGCTGGGGCACAGTGAAGCGAAGGGACCCCCGCTCCCTTTACCCCTGCTGTCGGGAAAGGGGAGTCCTGACTTGGGGTTCCTGTAAAAAAAATGGGGGACTTGAAATCAATTAAGAAAATGCTTTACAATAACCCTCCTCCCGGCCCCCAGTATTTCCTCAAGCTTGAATCCTTACCCATGGCCTCTGCGATTTCTCAGTCCGCTGAAAAGAGCCCCTGAACCCCGCTTTCCACCCCAAGCGAAAGCAAGCACGCGGGGTAGATCGAGGTGAGATGACCCAAGGCCGCAGCAGCTGCGTCGAGTATTTTTCCGGGTTTTCTCAGCTTAGTTTCTTCTTCCCGCACCCACACCCATCTTTCCTAAAGTTTCTGGTGAGACCTTTTGCACCGGAAAACTGTTCAAGTTAACAGTTTGTACACAAAAAAAGCAAACTAGAGATAAGAGAGCATTTTCTAGTGTGTTTTGTACATTTGTACTGGTTTTCTACATTTTCAAAAAAAAAAAAGTCTCGGCCTTCTAGGAGAAATGATGCGTGCTAGATCTTTGCCTTTCGCCTTCTGTATCAGGAATTTTTAATAGTTAAGTCTTCTCATAAAGCAATAGTATAAAAGGAGTTCACTACCTGTTACCATTATTCTTTATTAGTACTAATTTTTTCAGTTTAGTTTATTTGAGCTTGGAGGTAAGTTAGTTAACTCCATCAAGTTTCCTTCCTTTCTCTTTTCTCTCCTTCTTTTGATTTCTCTTCCTTCCTTTCTTTTTTCTTCCCAAAAGCTGGTACATTGTCCTAAAGAAGCGGTAAACTGTTAGGGGCTCCCTAGGAAACACCCCCTCCCAGCCTTCTTTCCTCACCTCTCCCCACCCCCTCCTCTTTTTCTTCAGTAGTAATGGTTTTAGGTTATGACTGTTTTTACATGGTTGAACAATAAGTTTGGGAGAAGTTGCCTAGAGGGTAGATTTTGTAATAGGGTTTCAGGATTTAGTGTGTTGTAATAATATTAGTACACAAGTAATCCTCCCCCAACGCTGGACATACAGGAGGGCCTAACATACTCCAGTTCTTTTTATTTGGAAGTAGTTCTGAGATAAATGGCATTGAAAGTTCATGACATAACTCAAGGTTACCTTCTAAAAGTCACCTTTTCTGCAGTGAATTCAGCAATCTCATTCTTCTCCCCACATATAACCCCTACTTCTAGGAGTAGCTGGGTTTTCTGTTTGGTTTTGTTTTTTACGTAAAGAAACATTGTTACATTTTTAGATGGCAAGCCCCTTTTCAAACATTATGATTACTTTTTCTTACCTCTTGAGATGGTCTTTGAAATATGACAGAGGAAATACGAAACATACCAAATTAAATCTAGTTCATGCACTTCTCGTTTACCAGCACCTCTAATTGTATGACTTCTACCCAGAGTGAGACCTAGAAAAGTTTGTAGACCCAAGTTACAGGAGCCCTGAAGAAGCAGCTCCCAAAGCTGAAAGCAGCGAGGGCTGCTTGGTGTTGTGTGTCTTGCCTGTGTGTGTTTGAGTGTGTGTGTGCTTACAAAGAAAACCCAGACCGTGCTAAGAAGCCACACAGACAGCTTCATCTGAAGCAAGTGCAAACAAAAAACAAACACAAAAACCAAAAAAAAAAAAAAAAAAAACCCGAGTATTTGGTCTATTTCAGGATGCTGGTATTTTATTTTACTTTAGTGTGCAGCTGCTATGCCAGAAACACTCTAAACTTGGTAATTTTTCTGCTTCTTATGAAACCAAGATTATGGCAAATATGACTTATCTCCTCAATGATATGCAACAAGTCTTGAATTACTTGCGGAAATATGACTGCTACTGGAAAGATTGTTTATCAAGTAAATAATTCCGAGGAAAGGGAATATTAGAATCTAATGATTTGATTTGTGGGTTCTTTACTATAAATTGGGATTTCAGTTGTGTGTTGTATGTGTGCGGGTTGGGGTTCTTCCTTTGGTGGCGTTTTTAAGATTCCTGTAATTTCTACATGGATGGCCCATTTAGACTCCATTCATTTATTTAAAAAGTATTTTGGTGCTCAGTTTTTTCAAGGAAAAGATAATATTGGAAGAATGAAACACCATGAATTGCAGCTAAAACACTAACAATCATATGAAGTATCATAAAAATTCCTTATTTATATTAATAATGAAACTCTATTATTTACCAAAGTAATTTGCTCATTTTGAGCAGCTTCATAGCAACACATTGATCTCTGGGCCCAAAAGGTTAGCGAGAACTATAATTAATTGCTTTTTTAAAAAATACCAACACCTGCAAGATAAGGCAGTTGGAAAGAATTCATGTTTAATCAGAGCTGTTTTAAGTTTGTCATAATGGAAGATTCTGAATGAGAAAATGCAAACCGGTGTTTTGTGATTTGCTTCAGGCCGCACATACTTTGTAAAATGTTAAAAAACAAACACACAAACGAGCAAAGTCTAGTTAGGCATGAGGGTACTATGTGTGAAAGTGAATATGTGATACTGAATGTTTTGTAGTTTATTTTACGTCAAGTTTCCCCTAGAGTTCATTGGCACAAGTGCCAATGTATAGATTCTTCTTTGGGGGCTCTCTTTCTTTCTTTATACTTTTGGAGGTAGCAAGTTGTCTTTACCAACAGAAACTTTTAGAAGGTAGAACTCCACATTTTTGTGGTGGAGATCTTACTGGGACAGAAATAGGCAGACTGGTTAAGTTTTTGAAATTGTCAAAAGCCAAACTCTGTGTAGGAACCAGAACAAATTCCTTCTGCAACCTCAGCTAGGTTTTTCTGAGACACTTCTTGGTGCAGATAGCACCAGAATATTCCAAAAATATTCTTAGATTATTAAAACTGAAGTAGTTTGGCGAAAGAGGTGGAAAGTTAACCGAAGAACTAACACTCCTCCCCCCAAAAAAGAAAAAAGTTTGTGTGCCAGGCTTTAGAAAACCTAGATGTGTCAAGCTGTTTTAACCTTTGCTAGCCTCCTCCCATGCAAAGGTGACAAGGTCCAGATCATAATATGTCCTTCAGTATCTTCCCAGTGACCCCCAAATTGAATCCTGCTAGTCACTTAGCAGGAAGTTAGTAGTTTATTTTAGTTTCACCTTATCAGCTTGACTTCTTTTCCTAACCTTATTCCCCTGTCACCCTCAGATGCCAGACCCCCGAAGGGGAAGATTGACAGGTAGTTCCCATAGCTCAGTTTTACCCTCAAACAACAGGGATTTAGTTTCTTGTGCCTTTGCCAATGTTTATGTAGTCAAAGTTTAGATCTTGCCTTAAGGAGTCTCTTTTTTACGCGTCACTGCAATAGGAAAGCCACAAAGAAGTTTTTGAACAAACCCTTGCAACTGGAACCCCATCTAGTGTTCAGTTTGATTCATCCATGGGAAAGACATTTCCCCCTTTCATTTATTGTGTACATTAGGTGGGCTTGGATCACTATTTTAAAAGCAATGCTTCGTCCATGTTATTTTTTCAGAGATTTCACTTGTATTCTTCCACTAGAGAATACGCTAATCCCGGTCAGAACAGTGAGTGAACTTGGAGGGTACCAGGAAATTTGTCATTTGGTGGCATATCACATCGAGGAAACTTTAGACATCACAGAAAATATGCACAGCATATGTCGTAGTGTTTAAAATTTCTTTGGAATCTTAAGTTGGACATTTGGATTCAGACTTTTCCCAGGTCGGTGCAGAAAAAAGAAAAAAAAGATAAAAGACCAATCAATCAAATATGTTTGTGATAAGAAAAGGAACGGGCTGTTAAAATTAAGGACTCCAAAACCACTGTCATGAGCAATTCTATTAAGAAATGTAAATGCAATTTTAACATAATGGGAAGTACAGTGAAGTGTCTTTCTGAAGAGCTCCAAAAAAGAAAACTAAATCTGGTAGAGTAAGGTGGTTGTGTTTGTTTTTTGTTTTGTTTTTTTCCTTTCCTGGCTGGCTAAACCTTTCTGTGTGGGGCATAGTTTTATTTTTATTTTCTCAGTAGACAGATATGGTAGAACACTTGAATTTTCTGCTTCCGATTCTGCAGTTTGGTTCAGAGGATGAAAAACTGACAGATTTGAATTAGGCACCAAGTAACTAAAAAGTACAACAGGAACTAAAGCATCTAGGATTTTAATATAAATTTGGTGGAGGTATAAGATCACTCTTCCCCCCCCCACCAAAAGGCCCAGAAAATTCCAAATATCTGTTTGTGTGTACATACTTAGAAAACCACTGCTTCTTAAATTTTGGTATCTGACTAGGGTTGCTTACAAAATTAATCTGCATGCAAAATCCATAGAAAAGGAACAGGAATGTTATTTTCACCATAGTACAAGGAACAAGGCAACTGTATTTACTATAATGGGGGTCACCAGTTGCAATCCTGTGTAACAGATTACTGAGAGAGATACAAGATAGCAGACAATCAGAAAAATGAATTAGAACTGTTCGTGTGTGTGTGTGTGTGTGTGTGTGTGTGTGTGTGTGTGTGTGTATGTGAGAGAGAGAGAGAGAATGTGTGTGTGCGTGTGTATCTTACTACAACTTAAAATATTCCCTTTGGTAAAGAGTCCAACTAGTCCTCATGTTTTGTCTTTTTTTTTTTTTTTAAATAAAAGACTGTTTCCTTGGAGTTTTGTTCCGAATGCAGATAGATTTAAAGTTAAGAATTATTACAGTGTAGCGACACCTGCTTTTGAAATAAATCAAAATAGATACCAGTATTTTGGGGGCATGGGGGTGTTCATAAACATCAGGAAATTAAATTAGTTCACTCTACAGTGAGATCAAATGTCAGCTTATTAAAAATGTTGTGAAAACCTAAGCTAAAATATGGGCAACTTTTTAACACAGTCTCTTAAAAGCAGGCAGGCATTTATTTTTAAACATCTATATTTTCCATCCAGTTAGCACAATCCTAAATATAAAAATGTTCAGGTTGAAACACTTGAAAATTCTCAAGTGAGTCTTGAGGCAACACAAATGCAGAATTCGAGTGCAGGAAAGTAATAATCAGCTAAATCCTATAAAGTAACCTGCCTTTTACTTTCTCTATTTATTATGAGAATATCAGATGTTTGCAAG